AATGTGCACCTTTGTTTTTCATACGTGTGTGTTGTGAATTTAATTTCTTCTTATTGGCAGTGTGCATCGCGCCTCGCTTATTCATACCCCCGCCGCCGCAGTGATTTAATTATTTTTTCCTCCTGCCGCCTGGCGCTGCGTTGCCGTGCGGTTTGCCTGTTGTTTGCTTCCTAAAGGCGGTGCGGTGTGGTGTACGTCGCCGCGGTACAGCCGAATCGCATTCATGTATTTATTATGTTTTCCGGGAGTGTAATGACCCTGCACCGGTTGAGTTAGGTTATGGCAACCGGGCCGGCCGCCTGCTTTAGCCTTTTGGGCCCGCCCGGCCCGGGAGGGAAAGCCTCTCGACCTCGCTCGGGGCCCGCCCGATTGTATTCGTGTGAATCATCATTTTTCGTCTGGACGTCCCCCGTCCCCCCGCCGGCCGGGTCATCTCCAGGGGTCTCCAGGACGCTTCCAGAACGCCTCCAGCGGGCCGCCGTCCCGCCTGCCTTCCGGTCATTACGACCCGGTCGGTCACGGGACGGTACGTCGTCATCCGTGTGTCGATCCGACGGCTGTGACTCCGTGACGTTTTGGGGTAAAATTTAACCATGACGTTTGGCAAAGACAGCATTCTTAATGCTTTGTCATTCCGAACGCCACAATGTTTGGAACTATTTTTGGGGATGACTTATAGATTTAACAGTGAAAATGGTATTTCTTCGTCATCAGGGATTCAATGTATTATAGGGTAGTTTTCATCAGATTACACTTTCGTATTATTTGAGTAGTAGTCTTAATTAACCTCGTTATTTTTACCGGCACTTTTATGAAAAATTGATCAACTATCCTGATCGTTTGCCGCCTTCCCGAATATTTTTCTCTCTCAGTTTTCCTCAAGCCTTTCCAGGAGGCCTCTCTTTCGGTCGCTGTTTCGGACCTCCTCCGCCGGGGCCGCGAGCGTCCGGGACTCTTCCAGTAGGGTCTGGATGCCTGTGGTAAAGGAATTCTCAGGCTCCACCCCGCTTTCCTCTCCCCCGCCCCGCGCCATGAGAAGGAGCGAGAGGGGAGGTGCGTAACCCACAGCAGCCGAAAAAAAAGAGAGAAAAAATTAATGATTCCGACGATTAACCAAATCCTTCCTCGGAGAGCGATGATCGCCGGTGTCGTGGCTCAGTTTGATTCCGATTTGGACATGGAGCGGAGCGGTGGTTGTGCTGCGGGCTGGCGCTGAGCGCATTCTTTGGAAAGAGGCCGGGGGGGGGGGGGGGGCATGACCTTGGCGGCGCCCTGGAGCCAATTACGTGAACAAACACCCGCGTGCTAGATGTGTCCCTTTAGACTGCAAAGACGCCCGAGGCGGTCCGAGGGCGCTGGAGGTCCATCCTAGTTGAACGGTGCTGCTGGCGGCCGGACTGCTTCGTGCGCGCGGCGCGGCGCTGCGCTCAGCCGAGCCGACGGCCCTGGTCGGGGTCGGCACAGGATGTGGTCACGGCTCCACATCAACCTTGGAAGGGGGGTTTAGACCGGCGCACTATTTTCGGGTTACTTTTCAAAACATGATACGACGACGCCTACTGCCCAAAGGGATACTTTGCTGAGAGTGAAGTAAACTATTGTAGGTGTCGTCAGTTTGAGCTCAACATTCGGTGGGGCCCTTGAAATTTCCCACCATCTTCGGCTTCAGCAACATCGGAAAAGGCAACGTGAACCACGATTATCAGACTTCTGTACAGGAACCTGCTCTCTTAACAAACTGAAGTTCCTCGCAATGTGAAAGAAGGGGCTTGGTCTGTTCGTTAAAAAAAGAACAAGTTTGCGCTTGCCTATTAATTTCAGTCTGTCCTACTGCCCCTAGACAAGAGATAACTATATTACCCTTTTCCGGTAGTCACCCCGTGCTTGGACACGCCAAACGATTTAGAGGCAAACGTAAAGACAAGTAATAACACGGTTCTTAATGCCGCATCGCCGTCGGTTTGAGCAGCTGATGATGACAACCTTGTGCGGCCGTTTCGCCTTGTTCAGATCCGCTAGGAAGCGTCATAGAGCCGCCGCTTTATCCCATTTCACCCCAATGCATTTCACGTCTCGCTGCCGATGACCCTGGCGGAGCAGGGCGTGCGAGCGAGGAGATAGACCAGGAGGGAGAGAGAGAGCGCGAGCGGGCGAGAGAGACAGACAGACATCATCGCATGCAGCACCACGTCGGTCCAGACTGCTTCAATCTGTGTTGCAGCAGAGAGGCGGCGCGTGCGTCCCGGATTAAAGTCCCAAAACCAACAGTTTTGCCTCTCTCTCTCTCTCTCTCTCTCTCTCTCTCTCTCTCTCTCTCTCTC